CCTCGGCTTTTGGCTTCCCCACCCCCCAGCCCTTCAGCCCCCTATAAAACAACCCTGCCCCTCTGAGCAGCGCGGCCATTTTTCCTTTTCGTCCCGGCTGGCCTGCCCGGAGGCTCTTTCCTCTCAATAAAGCCTGAACTTAAGGAATTTCCTCTAGCCTGCGGTCCGGTTTTTTCCGAACGAGCTCAGTCTTCCCGCAGAGGGTAGGTCGGACAGCTGGGACTACAGGCACGCACCACCATGCCCAGCTAATTTTTTTTGTATTTTGAGTAGAGACGGGGTTTCACCATGTTGACCAGGATAATCTCGATCTCTCGACCTTGTGATCCACCCGCCTCGGCCTCCCAAAGTGCTGGGATTACAGGCTTGAGCCACCGCGCCCGGCTTTTATTGACTTTTTGAAGGGTTTTTTGGTGTCTCTATCTCCTTCAGTTCTGCTCTGATTTTAGTTATTTCTTGTCTTCTGCTAGTTTTTGAAATGTGTTTGCTCTCGATTCTTTAGCAATTTTATTTTTAATTTTTTATTTTGAGACAGAATCTCATTCTGTTGCCCAGGCTGGAGTACAGTGGAATGATCTTGGCTCACCACAACCTCTGCCTCAGGTTGAGCCATTCTCCTGCCTCAGCCTCCTGAGCAGCTGAGACTACAGGTGTGCACCGTCATGCCCGTCAAATTTTTGTGTTTTTAGTAGAGACGGGGTTTCCTTGTATTGGCCAGGCTGGTCCCAAACTCCTGACCTCACGATCTGCTCACCTTGGCCTCCCAAAGTGCTGGGATTACTGGCGTGAGCCACCACACCTGGCTTTCTAGTTCTTTTTTTTTTTTTTTTTTTTGAGACGGAGTTTCGCTCTTGTTACCCAGGCTGGAGTGCAATGGCGTAATCTCGGCTCACCGCAACCTCCGCCTCCTGGGTTCAGGCAATTCTCCTGCCTCAGCCTCCCAAGTACAGGCTCAAGCTACCACACCTGGCTAATTTTTTTGGTATTTTTAGCAGAGTTGGGTTTCACCATGTTGGCCAGGCTGGTCTCAAACTCCTAACCTTATGATCTGCCCGCCTCGGGATCCCAAAGTGCTGGGATTACAGGCATGAGCCACTGCGCCTGGCCAAGAACAACTTTTCTTTTTTCTTTTTTTGAGACAGAGTTTTGCTCTTGTTACCCAGGCTGGAGCGCAATGGCGCGATCTTGGCTCACGGCAACCTTCTGGGTTCAAGCAATTCTCCTGCCTCAGCCTCCCGAGTAGCTGGGACCACAGGCATGCGCCACCATGCCCAGCTAATTTTTGTATTTTTAGTAGAGACAGGGTTTCACCATATTGACCAGGATGGTCTCGATCTCTGACCTCGTGATCCACCCGCCTTGGCCTCCCAAAGTGCTGAGATTACAGGTGTGAGCCACAGCGCCTGGCCTCAAGAACAACTTTTTCTTTTTTATTTTTTTGGGATGGAGTTTCGCTGTCGTTACCCAGACTGGAGTGCAATGGCACGATCTCGGCTCACTGCAACCTCCGCCTCCTGGGTTCAAGCAATTCTCCTGCCTCAGCCTCCCGAGTAGCTGGGACTACAGGCGCGCATCACCATGCCCAGCTAATTTTTGTACTTTTTAGTAGAGACGGGGTTTCACCTTGTTGACCAGATGGTCTCGATGTCTTGACCTCGTGATCCACCCGCCTCGGCCTCCCAAAGTGCTGGGATTATAGGCGTGAGCCACCGCGCCCTGCCCAACTTTTTCTTAATCTAATTTTTTTCGGGAGAGGAAGGTTTGCAAATTTCCAAGTCAGAACTGGAAATCCCAGTGCAACAATGCCTGTGATGCACACAAGGTGGCGCTGGAGGACACAGCATCTTTCAGAACGCCCTGGTACTGATTTTTTTCAAATGAGAAACATTTAATGCTACTTCATCTTCTGGCTTTTCATCAATGTGGAGGCCCACCCTATAGTTTTAGCAATTCAGTGGTGCTCGAAGGAGAATTTCCCCCTCCTCGTTTTCAAATATCTATTTCATCTGATTTCTTTTCCCTGCTGCCTCATAGATCCACCCATGAGCCAAAATAATCTTCTTTGAAATAAAAATATGAACAGAGCCTACCAGAACACTTGGAAAAAAGATTTTGAGTAGGTGTGTGTGTTTCCTCTTTGAGGCTGTAATTAGGAGATGGAAATAATCTCCCCCATAGGTTCTGTGTGTGTGTGTGTGTGTGTGTGTGTGTGTGTGTGTTATTTTTTTCCTTGGTGTTTTGAAAGGCCTTGACATGGATGCCTCATCTAAAACCATCTTTGAGCCCTAATAAAGTCTATCAAGGACCACTTATTTTCACACCACACTTACATATTTTTGGATCCAGGAAGGATTACAGAGTCATTTTAGACAAGTCAGCTGGTATAGAAAAGCCAGAAGGGAGAGATACTGCAAAATCCCACAGGGGCCCCAGCTTGAGCCAGGGCCAGCAAGTATCATGTCAGCAGCTGGGGCAGGAGGGAGATGATCTCCATCAGCAACCCTGCTCCCTCTTGGGAAGATGCCTCCCAGGGGTAACTGAGGTCCAGCCTAGTCATAGCTATTCATCCTGCTTTCCTCATGTTTCTTCTCTGCTTCTAACTTAGGGTTGCCCAGCCAACACTTTCTCTTGCTCCTTTTCCCATCCTGATCCCCCATTCTCAACTAGAAGAGTAGAAAAGACAATTCCAAAGAAAAGAAGTTGGCTGGGCGTGGTGGCTCACTCCTGTAATCCCAGCACTTTGGGAGGCCAAGGCAGGCAGATCATGAGGTTAGGATTCGAGACCAGCATGAACAACATGGTGAAACCCCGTCTCTATTAAAAATACAAAAATTAGCTGGGTGTGGTGGCGCACACCTGTAATCCCAGCTACTCAGGAGGCTGAGGCAGGAGAATCACCTGAACTCTGGAGGCAGAGGTTGCAGTGAGCCGAGATCATGCCACAGCACTTCAGCCTGGGCAACACAGTAAGACTCTGTCTCAAAAAAAAAAAAAGAAAGCGGTGGCTCAAGCCTGTAATCCCAGCACTTTGGGAGTCCGAGGCAGGTGGATCACAAGGTCAAGACATCGAGACCATCCTGGTCAACATGGTGAAACCTCGTCTCTACTAAAAATACAAAAAATTAGCTGGGCATGGTGGTGAGTGCCTGTAATCCCAGCTACTCAGGAGGCTGAGGCAGGAGAATTACCTGAACCCAGGAGGTGGAGGTTGCGGTGAGCCAAGATTGCGCCATTGCACTCCAGCCTGGGTAACAAGAGTGAAACTCTGTCTCAAAAAAAAAAAAAAAAAGTTATAAATCTTTCCTTCCTATATAAATGAATGTCTTGTGTGTGTATTTGTGTGTTGTGTAGACTAGATAGGGATTCTCTGCCTCCTAACTTCCAACCCAAAGTTCTTTTGGCCAGGCATTTTCTTTGTCTTGCTGATCTGTCCTAAAAATCCCTACTAAATGGTATTTTTCCAGAGGGGGTTATGTAAATATTAATTCATCAGCTGTCTCATCATGGTGCAGTGGCAGCCATGCAGTCCTATGACTAATTAATTACTGTTGCTAAAATATTAATAACTATTCATTATGCAGTCTAAAGACTTTAAGCCCTAGATCTGTATTGTTTTCATCTCTTAGGGTGAAGGACAGGAGTTCCTGGGCACCTTGACTCCTGATGTTGAAATATCATTAAGAGTAGAAGAAATAAGATTAAGAGTAGAAGAAATTTTATCTGAGCTATTTAAGATGGCTAGAATCCAGAATCTGAGCATTTAAAAATTGTGATGGGCTGGTTATAGTGGCTCATGCCTGTAATCCCAGTGCTTTGGGAGGCCAAAGTGTGAAGATCACTTGAGGCTAGAGTTGGAGATCAGCCTAGGCAACATAGGGAGAGCCCATCTCTACAAAAAAAAATTTTTTTTAATTAAAAATACCAGCTTGGCCAACATGGCGAAACCCTGTCTCGACTAAAAACAGAAAATAAATTAGCTGGGTGTCTGCGCCTGTAGTTCCAGCTACTCCGGAGGATGAGGCAGAAGAATTGCTTGAACCTGGGAGCCGGAGGTTGCAGTGAGCCAAGATCGTGTCACTGCACTCCAGCCTGGGTGACAGAGCAAGACTCCGTCTCAAAAAAAAAAAAAAAAAAGTTGTCATTAGGTTTGGAAAAGGGAACGAAGGAGTTTCCTTATAGCTAAGGAGGCTGGAGTTGTAAAATCAGACAGACCTGGGTTTACATCTGAGCTTTGCTTTTACTGGCTTTGTGACATTGAGCAAAGTATCTAACTGAGCATTGGTTTCCCAGCTGAAACCAGCTATTATTAGGAATAATAATGCTCCTCTCCCCTTCTCAGACAGTTGGGAGGATTTGATGAAATGGCCATTCCATTACACTTGCCTGTTTTATTGTGTCCATGGTTCTGATCATCTCTGAACTGCTGAACTTACTGTTTTCTTTTTCCTCTTCTCTTTTTTTTTTTTTTTTTTGAGATGGAGTCTCACTCTGTCGCCAGGCTGGAATGCAGTGGCGCAATATTGGCTCACTGCAACCTCTGCCTCTGGGGTTCAAGCAATTCTCCTGCCTCAGCCTCCCAAGTAGCTGGGACTACAGGTGCATGCCACCACGCCCAGCTAATTTTTTGTATTTTTTAGTAGAGATGGGGTTTTACCATGTTGAACAGGATGGTCTCCATCTCTTGACCTTGTAATCCACCCACCTCAGCCTCCCAAAGTGCTGGGATTATAGGCGTGAGCCACTGCACCCGGCCTTCTTTTTTTTTTAAGGCAGGGTCTTGCTCTGTTGCCCAGGCTGGAGTGCCGTGGCATAAACTCTGCCTTCTGGGCTCAAGCGATCTTCCTGCCTTGGCCTCCTGAGTAGCTGGGACTTCAGGTGTGCACCACTACACCCAGCATATTTTAAGGTGTATGTCAATTCGTGTGGAACACTGATGGAATTAACATAGCACTAATTAGAACTGCCACTCACGGAGTACATATTAAGTGCTGGGCATTGTTGACAAACCGCTTTATTTTCACCAGGTTTTGAGTGCTTACTGGGCACTAGACTTTTCAGTAAATATGAATCACCTACTCTGCGATTCTCCCAAGTGCTTATGAACAAGGGTGCAGCGCCGATTCTGCGCCAGCCTTTTGCCTGCATCTCATTTAAACGTGAAAACAAGGCGTGATCTCTATGCTCTGCCCAGGGTAGGGGCGCGGGCCCGAGCAAAGGGTGCACACCTGAGTAGGGACAGGAAGGGGGAGGCGGGGTCCTCTTTCCTGGTGCGCTGCAGAGCCAGGGCGATCCTGAATGGCCTCGGGGAGAAGGGGCCGGCGGAGGTCAGGCTGAGGGCAAGTAGCAGCGAAGGGACAGCCAGAGGTCCAGGCCACTCGGGCGGCGGGGTCCGCGGAACGGTGGGCGGGGCGGCGGGCGGGGCCTGTATTGTCCGCTCCGCGGGGCACGCCGGGAGCCCCGCCCCCAATATGGCGTCTCACTGACAGTTGGCTACCTAGCGGCAGAGGCGGATCCTGCTCTTGAGGGCGGCGGCGGCTGCGGCGGCGGGGCCGGGGTCTCCCGTACTGAGGTCGGGGGGATGGCGGCTCGGACCGCCTAGGGCGGAGCTGCACCGGCGAGACGGCGAGCGGGGCGCCGCTGGCGGGCGCGGAGGCCGCTGCCATGGATTGGTGATCGCGGCAGCTCCTGCTCCGTCTCCCCGGGCCGGGCGTCTGCGCCTCAGCGCCAAGCCCTCGGTTGGGGCCATGGGCTCGTCGGCGGCCGCGGCGGCGGCGGCGGCGGCGGCCGCGGACTCGGCTCAGTGGCTCTCGGTGAAGGAGGAGACCATATTCCTGCACGACGGGCTGATCCGGGTCACCGACCTGGCCGAGCTGCCCAGCGAGATCCTCGGGGCCCCGGAGGCCGCCGACACCGACCTGGAGGTAAGTGTGGCGGCCCCCGGACCCCGCCATCAGACTGGCCTACCGGCCCAGCTCCCCGCGGTCGGGCCCCAGCCGCGGGCCTTACCTCCCGGGGGCTGCCGGGGCAGGTGTGTGGGGGCGCGGGGCGGGCAGGTGGGGGCCGCGGCCGCAGGTCTGCAGACCGCCCGCGCGGCTTTCTCTCCCTTCCTCCCTCCCCCGGGCCTGGTGCTCGCCCGGGGATTTCATTTGTGGTTTCCTTTTGAGCGTTCCGACACCCGGCATTTTATTAGACTAGCTCCTGGCTCGGCCTTCATGCCCCGGAGTAGCCGCCGCCACCACCCGGGCCCTCCCTCCCTTACCCCACGAGCCCCCTGGACCCACTTCCAGGGCACATTCAGGTTGCTTAGCTTTAGGAACATTTTCATTTTCACGCTGTGCACCCTCTCACCCTTTTCTTCCCCAGTTCTGTGTTTTTTTGTTTTTTTTCTGGGAGTGGATAGTGGCAGCTGCGGGTCCGCGATGGGCAATCCAGCAACTTCTCTGTGTAGTGCCTCGGATAGATTGACACGGGGCCTTTGTCAGGGAAGCGGGTGGTATGGACAACGAGAGGGATGCTCCAGCGGCCCTCAGTGCACTCTCGGCGAAGGGTCAAGGGCGTGTTAGGCCGCAGGGCTTGTTTGTGCGCCAGGGGGTCGCCGAGCATCCCGGGTTCAGAGCTGTGGCAGGTGCAACAGCAGATCTCATTTGAGGTGCTTGGCCTTGGGGACAGAAGGGAACCAAAATGCCTGGTTGGTGGGAACTTTCCATCGGCTTCACTTGGGTTCGCGTTTGCCCAGAGGTGGGAATACTGGAGTGTCATTTCATGGAGGCCAGCGGATGCTGACACCGCTCCCCCTCCACTTTGTGGGATGACATTTTGATGTGTAGGTAGCATGGGGTGTCATCAAATTTTTACTGCCTTAAGGAGGGCTTTCTGGGGTAGGGCGCAGAGAGGATGGCCTATCTTCTGGCTACAAACGGAATGAGAGGAATCTTTTGTGTTTGGCGGTTTTGCATGCAGTTTGTCTTTCCGTACAACGAATATTTATAGAAATGAATTAAAAGCCATTACTGTATGTTTCTGGAAACGGCAGTGATCCGGTCGTGGTGGCCGAGACATTTGGACGTGCTTGAGATGCGAATACGTTCCACTGTATTTTTGTGTCTGGATTTGAGGTTGCTTCAGCACTTCCGTTGTGAACTCTTAATTGACTTATTTTACAGTCTAGTCACCAAAAAGAGGAGGATATAGTTGGCAGGGAATTCCTGACATGGAATCATCGTTTTATTGTGTCTCATTTGGGCCTGTTCTATAAAAAGCAAGGTGTGTCTTAGTGTCTTATCTACCTGAAAACTCAAGGGGTATTATGCTATCATAGTGGAATCTTTTGATTTAATTGGCTGTGTTGTGTGTGAAAGGTGGGAAGTGGATGCTCTTTGTTTCTTTTCTTTTTTTTTTTTTTTCCTCAGATGGAGTCTTGCTCTGTCCCCCAGGCTGGAGTGCAGTGGTGCGATCTCAGCTCACTGCAACCTCCACCTCCTGGGTTCAAGTGATTCTCCTGTCTCAGCTTCTGGAGTAGCTGGGATTACAGGTGCGTGCCACCACGCCGGGCCATTTTTTGTATTTTTAATAGAGACGGGTTTTCACCATGTTGGCCAGGCTGGTTTGGAACTCCTGACCTCTTGAACCACCTGCATCAGCCTCCCAAAGGTCTGGGATTACAGGCATGAGCCACCACACCGGGCCTATGCTCTTTGTTTCTTAAAGACTAATCCAAGTTCACGGAACCAATATATATGTCATTTATGTAATTTCTTTTTAGGATTAGAAAGAGTAGGATTAGTTAAAATAACTGTGCTGTTAAGTTGGTTTTCCTAAAATGTTTACTGTATACATGTATTGGCATGAATTTGTCACCTATTTCCACAGAATAGGTGGTTTTAAAAGGAAAGAACCTCTCTGGCCTGCTAGATTTTTTTTTTAATTGCTTTTTAAATTTATGGTCTGATTTCTCAGAAATTAGTGTATGTATGGGTGATAAACATTTATGACTGGTAGTAGTGAATAACTTTTTCATTCTTTCCATGGTATATAGGCTCCATGGTATCAGGAGAAATAGATAGCTAAGAATGTTTTTTGTGGCTATTAGATTTGTATTTGTGTGAGTGTATTCATATATTCATATATCTATATATATAATTTTTAAATTTTTATTTTATTTTATTATTATTATTACTATTTTGAGATGGAGTTTCCCTCTTGTTACCCAGGCTGGAGTGCAATGGCACCATCTTGGCTCACCGCAACCTCCACCTCCTGGGTTCAGGCAATTCTCCTGCCTTAGCCTCCTGAGTAGCTGGGATTACAGGCACGCACCACCATGCCCAGCTAATTTTTTGTATTTTTAGTAGAGACAGGGTTTCACCATGTTGACCAGGATGGTCTCGATGTCTTGACCTCGTGATCCACCCACCTTGGCCTCCCAAAGTGCTGGGATTATAGGCGTGAGCCACCGCGCCCGGCCCCCTAATTTTAATATTTTTATGTTCTGAAAGAGAGTCTCTCTCTGTTGCCCAGGGTAGAATACAATGGCACCATCTCAGCTCACTGTAACCTCCGCCTCCTGGGTTGAAGCAATTCTTCTGCCTCAGCCTCCCAAGTAGCTAGGATTACAGGCATGAGCCACCATACCCAGCTAATTTTTGTATTTTTGGTAGAGACAAAGTTTTATCATATTGGCCAGGCTGGTCTCGAACTCTTGACCTCAGGTGATCCGGCCCCCTTGGCCTCCCAAAGTGCTCATATTTAATTGCTTAATAATGTTCATTAAATGTATCTTACATGTCAGTCATTATCTTATTAAATTCTCAAAAGAGTTTAACAACACACAACAACAACAACAAAAAAGAGTCTAACAATTGGAAATATTGCACTCATTGTACCGATGGAGGAAGTAAAGTGCAGAGTAGGTATTCGACTTGCTCAAGAGCTTGTGCGTTAACCTAGTTCTGTTTACTGCGCATCTGCTCCTCATTGTAATACTTTACTGCCTCCAACAATGTATAGTATTTGTATTTACAATTATTTTAAATTTCATAACTGGCAACAGAAGGAGGAATAAACAGATATCTCTATTTTCTTTTAGTAACTGTTTCTTTTTCAAATTTGAGGAAGATTTGTAGTTTATTAATTTTTTAAAAGCTATCTTTTGAAATACCACCACACCTATGAAGTACAGTTTTCCAAGCCTCTTCTTCCAGTGGACATCTGAATGAATAATGGCCATTTTCCACAGGGTTTTATAATATGTAGAATCCTTCAGTTACCACTTTTGGATTATGAGGGATGGGATTCAAGTTGACTAATTTATGACTGGCAACCTTATTGCAGAAGATTGCAATGGAGAGTCTTAGAATTTTAGAGCAAGAAGAGATTTTAGAGATAGTAACTTCCCTCATTTTAGAAAAAAGTTCTCTGAGATCAGGAGAGGTTATGACTTAGTCACTATAGCATAGCTAGTTGTGGCAGGGCAATGACTAGACCCTGGCTTTCCTGCCTTTGGATTTTAGTGTTCTGTTCACCCTGTAAGCACTGCTCAAAGTCAATCTGAACAAAGAATTCTTTCTAAGAAGTAGATCAACACTGACAGTATTTTAATTTAAGCAGTTGCAAGTATTTCAATTAAAATTTTTCTTCCCAGTAAATTCTTTTTCTTTTTCTTTCTTTCTTTTTTTTTTTGAGACAGTTTCATTCTTGTTGCCCAGGCTGGAGTGCAGTGGCATGATCTCATCTCACTGCAACCTCTACCTCCCGGGTTCACGTGATTCTTCTGCCCCAGCCTTCCAGTTATCTAGGATTAGAGGCATGTGCCACCATGCCCAGCTAATTTTGTTTTTCGTTTGTTTGTTTGTTTGTTTGAGATGGAGTCTCGCTCTATCGTCCAGGCTTGAGTGTAGTGGCATGATCTCGGCTCACTGCAACCTCCAACTCCCTGGTTCAAGCAATTCTCCTCCCTCAGCCTCCTGAGTAGTAACTGGGACTACAGGTGTGCACCACCATTCCTGGCTAAGTTTTTATATTTTTAGTAGAGATGGGGTTTCATTGTGTTAGCCAGGATGGTCTCGATCTCCTGACCTCATGATCCGCCCACCTCAGCCTCCCAAAGTGCTGGGATTATAGGCATGAGCCACTGTGCCCAGCCAATTTTGTATTTTTAGTAGAGAATGGGTTTTACCATGTTGGCCAGGCTGGTCTTCGACTCCTGACCTCAAGTGATCCACCTGCGTCAGCCTCCCAAAGTGCTAGGATTACATGCATGAGCCACTACACCCAGCCTCTGCCCAGTAAATTCTAAACAGGTTATTATTATTATTGTTGTTGTTATTTTAAGATGGAGTCTCTCTCTGTAGCCCAGGCTAGAGTGCAGTGGCACAATCTTGGCTCACTGGAACCTTTGCCTCCTGGGTCCCAGTTCAAGCAATTCTCCTGCCTCAGCCTTCTGAGTAGCTGGGATTACAGGCACAGGCCACCATGCCCAACTAATTTTTGTATTTTTAGTAGAGATGGGGTTTTACCATGTTGGCCAGGCTGATCTTGAACTCCTGACCTTGTGATCCACCCACCTCAGCCTCCCAAAGTGCTGGGATTACAGATATGGGCCACTGAACCTGAACCTGGCCTTTTTTTTTTTTTTTAAAGCAATAAATAATGTTTAATCAATGAATTCATTCAACAAATATTGGTGGAATTTAGAAGTAAGCTTGGCAAACCATCCTGGATGCTGGGGATATAGCAGTGGATAAAATAAGATTCTTGTCCTCAAAAAGCTTATAATATAGTGGGATGATATTGACAATGACAAATATATAACATGGCATATAGGCAAATGATAAGTGCTAAAGAGAAAAGTATAGCTCAGTAAAGAGATGGAGAGCATTGGAAAGGGGGCTCTGTTTTTTAAATTTTTTCTTAAATTAGAGAT